ACTTTCCTACTGCTCTACTGTGTGTCTTTTTTTTTTTTTTTTTTTTCCCCCCCTAGATGAGAAAGAAGAAGAAAAAGCAAAAGAGGAGAAAGCAGAACCCAAAGGGTGAGCCCTGTCTCCTGGCGTGGCGATTAAACGTCTGGGCCTGTACTTCCTTGTGCATCTACCCATGTCCCCAGTGCGATGTTGCACAACTTGAGGGGCTGGAGGAGAGACGTGGTAGTTTGGATGGCTTTGTCACAGGCTCTTAACGGGAAGAAGTTTGCACATGTAGAACAGCACGCCTGCTAAAGCGCTGTGAGAGCAGAGCCCTCAGTGAAAAGGGCTTAAAAAGACTCTGCCTTCATTCGGTAACATGTTGCAAGTTTTAGATGAAGATGGGCCATATAAGCGGCATTTTTAAGGTTGCAGCTCTGGCTTGTTATTAAAGCTTGGGCACAGCCTGAGTTGCTTGTTTAAACCTAATTGTCCTCTGCTTGCTTCCACAGGGTGAAGGAAGAGACGAAATCCACCTAAGATGGCTGCAGCTGGACAGTACCTGTCAGTGCGTAGTTGTCGTAGGTTAGCTTCTCTGGTTGCCTCCCATTCCACAGGATTTATATTTTATATATGTTTCTGTATATATTTCTATATAAATATATAAATGACTTGAGAACTGTAAATTATTCCTTGCTGCACTCCGCTGGGAGCAGACAGGGAGGATTCTGCGGAGTAGACAGACCTGCACTGCCCAGATTTGGTGACTGGGAAGTTTCACTCTTGCCTTCCACTGCCTCCTTAGTGTGTCTTTAAAAAAATCACTTCCTTTCTTTACTCTCTCCTCTGAAATAACTACCCTTCGAAAAGAATAATTTAAGTAGAAGTAGTATCTGCATTTCAGGTTAGGTGGAAAGATGGCCATGAAATTGGTTTTTTTATCTTTTTTTTTCTTTTTTCTTTTTTTTTCCTTTTTGTGTTTTTTTTTTGGTGGGAGAATACAAGTTCCCAAATGAAGCCTGTGAGAGACTGACTATTCCTTTGGTCTTCAGTTTGATTCCACCGTGGCAAGTAACTGCAAGCTGGTGCCACTTCTCAGGGTCAAATAGTGCAGTTCTTGAATAGAGTTGGCTACCTCCCTGCAGCAAACTTGTGGAAAGAGATGAAGCAGCTTAAAAGCAATCTGAAAAGCGCTTTAGTGAATCAGCCCAAGAGCCCTGCAGGTGCAGATCTGGAAAATGCAAAATGAAAATCACCCTAATGTGGTGGTTAACGTTTTCCGAGATCTTGCAGATCCAGTTAGTGTGGCAGCATTATGCATCTCACGTAAGAGAAGGGATGAAATTTTTATACCTTTTTTTTCTATACCTATGCCCCTCTTTGGGGGAGGAAGTGAGTTACTGCCCGTTTGGCCGCCTGCTTTGCTTTTCCTGCTTGTTCTGTCCTCGGCTCCACGTGCTGTAGTGTTTTCTCGGCACCGATCTGTGTCCTAGGCTGAAACCACTGCAGAAATTCCCAACTTGTCTAAAGGCCAGACCGAACAGAGCCTGGCTGAAACCTCTTGTCGATGCGTGTCACTCGCTGAAAAACTCTTTCTCTGAAGCAAAGTACAAATGTTTTCAAATTGAGCCTTTCCTCTCTCTTGCTCTCAAGGCCAGTAAATATGGAGAACCTTTTTATCAGCCGTCTGAGCTGTTATCTTCGTAAGGGAACAGCAGATGGGGCTCTGTACGTTTTTATAACTACTCCTCTTCCTACTCCCACGCATTATCTCACACCCAAAAGTCTCTTGTGACCAGAACTGGCCTTTCTTTTGCGTCTCGTTTTGTACAGCTGATCGTTAGATGAGCTTTTAGTGAAATGCTTTGCAGAAGATTTGCAGGCAGTTTTGACTCGCTGCTCTCCTTTCTCAGGGGGATTCCTCTGTCCATAAAGAGGATCTGTACCTCCCACGGAGCGCTGCTGATGGTTTCAACTCTAATAATGCTGCTAACTTAACACAGGTTATTTTTAAAATGTTTTATTTTTTTAAATACTTCTTTTCCCTTTTCCACCGTGAGTTTTTTAGTCTCTTTGAATCCGAGTGACGTGTCACTCCCGCTCTTCAGTGTTTGTATGTGAAGCGAGAGAGATCAGTGTATCTTTGTGTCTGGGGGGGAAATATATTGTGGTTTTTTAAAGATGCTTTTATTTTGAATTTTGAGAATCTTTGTAATAAAACTGGTACATTTCTATGGTTGGTGTGAGTTTGCACTGCTTTCTGCCGAGAGGAAACACTCGGTTGGAGCGGGAGTTCAGTTTGTTTTCAGAGCCATTGCTGGAAAATGGTGCAGTAGCTTGGTTGTGATCGGGATGTAACGTAGGTCCCAACGACAAAAAATGACAGCTGTAATAAGGCTTTGGAAAGAAAAGCGAGGTGAGGCGCGATGACTTGCCCTCCTCTTTCAGGAAGAGCGCTAGATGCGTTGGGTTAAATGCCACCCACCAAAGCACTTTGTTTGGAACGTACTCTATGCTGCACGTGAAAGATTGCTTTGGTTTCTTTTGTAGATGTTTGTTCCTTTTTTTTTTTCTTTTCCCCTGTGTTTTATAAAATAGCCTTGAAGTTCTCCTCGTGACCCTTCTCTCCAGAAAAGGTAAGTCAAAATACCATGGGTTTTGTTTGCTCACACCTTTTCTACTAAGTGTCACTGGGGCGGTTTTTCTGTCTCTGCCTTAAGTTACAGCTGGGTTCTCATCCAGCAGCGTTGCTGATGCTAATTGCGCTTGCAATGTCTGTGGAGCTACAGTACTTCATGCAGCCGACGCTTGCTCTGAAAGCAGCGTTAATCTAGAAAAGGAATAATAAGTTACGGGAAAGGAATATTTTTTTTGAATGAACTGGAGTGTTTTCTATCTGGTGTTCAAGTGAAAAAAATTCAGTATCATTAGGAGCAGGTTAATTCTGCAACTGAGTGGTGATCGCAGCTGGAATAAACACAAAAGGTTCATAAGCCAAATCTCCTGTTTATGCAGTGAAGAGAAAGCTTTGTGTGGCACGGTTGACTTTCACTGCTGTAATAATACTCCAGGAAACTTAGTTATCCTTTTCACCATAGCGGATAATTAAAATCCTCTCCTCCTCAAACAAAAACGACTGTACAATTCCAGTTACCCCTGCCAGATCACGCATGCCAATGTGCAACTGCAGTCCTCCTCTCTTCCAGGCTTTCTTAAAATGGCTGCCGCGACGCCGTGCAGCAGCTCCCTGGCAGATGCGCGGAGCCCCGGATCTCGGCTGGGGCACAATGCAGCTGTGTCTCGCGTGGCAGACAGTGAGCAAGCTTAGAAAGAATTTGCAGACCACAGTGCCTACATTTAAAATAGCTTTTTTTTTTTTTTGCCCCCCAAGCGAATAGGGATGAATACCCTGCTGGCTTTGGAAGCAGGTCACTTGCTGTAGTTTCCCACTATTGAGAGAAGGACGTGCTCTATAAAACCAAGAGTTTTGGCCATTTCCACCTACCTCAAGGGCCACAGAAGAGCGACGATGGTCCTTGCCCCAGGCCCTGCCTTGCCCAGCGGCTTTTGGGCGAACAACGCTCCTTGCTTTTTTCCAGCTTCTTCCTTGCCAGCCAAAACAGGCGATTAGATGGGAATGAGGAGCAGGCCACTAAATGGAGGGGTTGCACGCTCCTGCAGCCTGCGCTGGCAGGAGGAGCTCTTGGGGGGCTGTGGCCCTCACTCTGAGCTGCTGGAGAGGGGCAGTCTCCTTCCTGGAGAAGGAGAAAAAATCACCTCTATCCCTGGGCAGAGCACGGGGGAGATGGTAGAGGCACCCATTGTGCCTTCATTTTCTCTTTGGAAGTAAGTCTTTGCTCGCAGGGCATAGCTCTTGTGCTCTAGCATGTCTTTTCAGGAAAGAGAAGCCAATCCTATTCTAAAGCCACTAAAAAAAAAAAAAAATTAAAATTAAAGGAACCAAGCTTAAAATGGGAACTTCACCCAGTAGCCTTCCTGAGCCCCTCCTTATGAGAGAGACTTTTTTTTCCCCTTCCCCCCCCCGAAAAAAAATGGGTTAGATCCCTAAGAAAACAGGTAGCGAGCTGAACAGTGCTCCGAAGGTAGCGACAAGAGGCTTGTGTGAGAAAGTCCTTTGTGGCTGTAGCTCTACATCTGCTGCAAGTCAATTAACTGCGAGCAGAGCCAGGGCTGGAGGGATTAAATGCAGCAGCTGTTGAACTAAATAAGCCACCGCTATCTTCCCCGGCCCTCGTCTGGCATCCAGGACAAGAAGGACTCGAGCTCACCCATAAAGGGGTCACCATTTATTCCTTCCAAATGTTACAATAAAGCCCATACAGCTTTTTTTTTTATTATTTTTTTTTAGAAGTTAGAAAAATGCAAATCAAGTGTTTTGGCCATTAAAAAAATTATTTACAGAGAAAACAATGTTGCTTCACATTATACAGCTGGCAGGCCCCCTCCCTCCACCCCACACCCTAAAAGTTATCCCTTAAAGCAGAATTAAACACAGCGGACTTACAAGCTTTATGGTTTTAAGCCAATAGTAAGACGTTATAAAAAACTAACCAGATTAGCTTTTAAACCATCGATTTCTATAAAAAGCACAAAATACTTTAAATGAAGTCAGAACCAGGAATGTAAACTGAGAAAAAAGAATCCATTGAACAGTCACTGGCTTGCTGGGCTTCGCGGGCTGCCGGGAGGAGAGGGGACAGTCCGGAGGCCAGCAGAGCTCCCAGAGCGGGGTTCTCACAAACTGTAAATTCCAGTTATGTCCAGGAGAGTCTTCCTCCACAGTTTGAAAGGATTCAGGTAAAACTACTCCGAGTTGTGGTGGTGGGAATCCAAACCAGCTTTCTAACAGGGAAGAAGTGACTCGGGGCGGGTGGCGGTTTTAGAAAGCGGTGTCAGTTCTCGGTGGGCCGGGGAGGTGTGGGGGCAAGGCAGCGAGTCCGGGCTGTTACCGGGATGGAGAGGATGGCGCGAGAGTCTTAAGTTAGGACGATGCCAAGTGGGCTCTACTCTTCCTTCTGCTCCGCCGCCGCCGGAGCTGTTGCAGGCTCAGGCCCCGCGGGTTTTGAGGGCTCCTCTGGTTTGGCTCGATCCCCGTGGCTTTCCCCCGGCTGCTGCTTCTCTTCCTCCTTGCCTTCTGCTTCTGCATCCTCCCTCTTGGGCTCGGCTCCCTGCTGCCCATCATCATCGGCAGGGCTGCTCTCCCCGCCGCTCCCCGGTTCCTCCGCTGTCCCCTCCTCGGGGGGAGCCGACGGCTCGGTCCCGCTGCCCGAGCCAGCGGGGTTCGCCTCTCCCTTGGCCTCTGCCTTGCCTTGGTCCTCCGTGGGAGAGGACCCGGAGGAGTCCCCGGCTTCTTTCTTGTTCTTCCGAAACGAGATCCCGCTCAGCTTGAAGGATTTCTTGAAGGAGAACTTCTTCTTCTTCTTGGGGGTGTCCTTGGGGGCCGCGGCGCCTTCGGGCTTCGCATCCCCGCCGTCGGCGGGGGGGGCGGGCCTCATTGCGCTCCCCCCCCCCCCCTCCCCCCTCCCGTCCTCCTTTCGGG